ACAGTTCACCAGGAGTCTGAGCAACACCGACGCTCCAGACGAGAAAGCAGGTACTACATTTATCCGTAAAGCTTTCATATCACAAGGTCAAAAAAACAACGATCACAAAATCGATGAACAAGAACCTCACTGTGAATGACCGAAAAATATCAATGTTTTTGTTTACAAGATGGCAGCCTAAGCGACACGGCAATCGGAGGCAACAGCGAGATGGAGCCTACCAGCGACGACGCCTTGCTGAAAGCTGAGCCCAGAGACTATTTCGGACCTGGAATGGGAAAGAAAAGCAACTCAACGTCGCAGTTATCCGCTACCGGTGAGTTTCTACTTTTTACAGTAAATGAATTCGTTGCCGATACTAAAAGATTATTATGTTCACAGAGAGAGACTTCGAAGCACAAATACCACTTTGATTTATCTTACACCTTATTATTTTAATCGTACATATAAATCTCGCTCGACAGGACGAAAAAGAAGGTTAGGTTTTGGTAAGCGGGGGAAAAATTCGTTTACTGTACAACGAAGCGAGGAGGTGGTGCCCGGGGAGATGCGGGGCGGGGCGGGGGTGTCGCGCGCCTCCTCCGCCTCCAGCGAGAACGATGACGACAGGTTCGCTGCGCACGCGCAGCCTCATTAGCGCAGCGCTAAGCGACATTGACACAATAGTGCGGTACCGGGCGGCGGTAGATCTCATCTCTGCTCTCACACAGATCTCGCCCGCTATGAGACGACAGATTCGCGTGCAATTAGCCTCGCTAAGACATTGGAAGCACCAATGTCTATCAACCGTTCTATACAGCATGCCAGAATGTCCACGTCAAACTTAGAACTCAATGTGCGATGTTGCTTTTGTAAAGTCGGCTAGTGTAGAGCTTGAATTTGCCAATTTATTCGATGAGAGCACAGTTTTGTTCAAAGTTGAATTTTGAAGTAAAATAATACTTAGTAGCTCATGTATGTAGAATCATTATTATGAATATCTGAGGCGAATGCTTTAGAAGCGATCGCAGTTTACATTAACAAATATCTGATCATGTATTTCTTTAAAGAAAATAACTTATTTGTACATACACCGGTAGGGATGGACGCAAGCGGGATTTAGGCTTCGCATACAAATTGGCAAATGTAATATTTTAAATATGTATATTGTCGTCCTGGGTGTCGGCGACCTAGATGTTCTTTGCTAACAC